CGTACCAAAGAGACCAACTTAGCACCAACAAAACTGGTTTGTTCCACTTTGGAGTAAGCTGTTGGGGGAAGAATCAGTTTTGTTGTGCTTTTCCTTGACTGATGAAGCCTTCTGGATCAAAGGCGAAACATTTCAGCACAAAAAAAGAAACTGTCCAGATGACCTGACTGAAAAATGTTGGATTGTATACCTAGATTATTGAGCATGGACTTTGTTATTTTCTATTTTTGTTAAATGAAAATTACACATTGGCCCAAAATAATTGTCTATCGGCCATGGGTTGCCCTAACACAAGTCAGAAATGTTGAGATTTAATGTAATCAATGGTCAGGTTTCAAAACGGTTTAATTTGTAGTCTTTGTCCCCATTCAGACCAGACATTAACTATGTTTACATGGACATAAGTAGTCGGATCAAACGGCCGTTCGGAATAAAAACGCGTCATTTAAACACCCTGTTTGGGTTTTTTTTTTTTTTTGTTTATTCAGCATTATCTGAAATAATTTGTGATCAGAACGAAACGGGTGGTTTACGCCGATTCATAACCCAAACGGTGCGCATGTAAACGCTTGATCCATTCATTTTTTTTCTGATGGTGAAAAACTGATCTGACTACGCATGTGCGACTTTGCCATTTCTGCCTGGCTAATGCTAATAATATTAGCATGTCAGGGAAGCAAAACTGGTTGGCGAGCGACAACATTTCTACTAGAAACTTTGAAAGAGCTCAAAATGATCTGTATTACCTGTAGCTCAGTCAGGGAGTGCAGTAACATCTCCACCATCATTAAAACCTGTCGCGGGTCCATTCTGGGCGCTCAGGTTTGTTTACGTTCACCCGGAAGTAGAACTTCTGTGGTTTTTTTTAAGTAGAGTTTACCACTCTGCGCATGTCAGTACTGCTGTTCAGAACAAAGCCCGCTGCATCTTAACGTGAACAGATTGTGTCCATGTAAATAATACATTTGAATTATTTAATCTGAAAACATTTCAATCTGGTCAAAGAATTTTGCGCATGTAAACATGGCTATTAACCACCATCCTGGGTGATCTGATCAGACTCGGATAATTTTAAGACACAAGTTATTTTAGTAAGACTGATGAATGTCTCTCTCAGACCACCCACAAAAGTGGTCTGGAAGAACTGTCCACACTATTTTGGTTGGCTGAAGACAAACCATCCAGGACCACACTGAAAACCCACCTGGACTCGAATCAATGTGTAAAGCTTAAGATTAAAGACAAACAGGAGTGAGGTTGACAATATATGTGTTTGTGGTGATGCTCCCTGCGTCTCATCCTTTTTCAATACCTGATTGTTCCGTGTCGGAGTGTGAACAGACCTGAGCGGTACTAAATCCTGTGGGACTTTAACAACACATCATCATCTGATGATGGATTATGAGCTTCCTTTATCTCCAGCTGGTTTTTAAAAATTGCAAAAATCATATTGACTGGAAACAGTTCATTATAATAAAACAAACTGTTATTTGAACAAATGAATACATTTAATTGTGGCATAAACCATATCAGGCGGGAAATGCCTTTCATTGTAAATTATTTAAATTACTAACAAGGTGAGACATTTTTACTACCAGAGCCTGAAAACTGAAATTATTTGTCAAAAGAGATGAGTAAAGTATTAATCCAGTGATAATCACTCATTGAGACTGTTGTCAGAACAACATAGACGACTAAGAACATAAAAATACATCAGGTTTTATTTTCCATCACATTTGTATCATTCTGTAAATATGTCCAATGTTTTCATTTAGACAGAAGTCCCTTTTATTACAACACACCCATTTTTTGAAGTGGTTAATGTATCTGTCAGCAAAATATCTCATGAACCAATGGATGGATTTTAGTTAAACTTACAGAAAGTAACCACTGGATGTACGTCTACAAATTATTAAATTTTGGATTTAACCAAAATGAAGATGGTCACCACATTAAAAAGTGTCTACGCTGTCATTTTTACAGACATTGAGCTAAAATCTGAAGTGGTCGTAGCTGAGATTGATCCCCAACATATTCTGAGCTCTAACAGATGGCATAAGATGTTTGCTATAATTTCTTGAATTTTGTCTGTTCTGTTGATAAAAGCTGCATCTGTGAATTTGTCATGTTGGACAGAACTACTGCTGAAACCTTTTCATTGAAGGAAATAGTTTGTTTGCTTAAACCTCCTGTCACTTTGTTAAAAACATGAATCTACATCTGGTTTAGTAATAGGAGATCTTTTGGTTGGAAAATTTACTACATATGTGGTATTTTAGAGGGCTTGAAGCTTCTGTGTGGTCTTAGATTGACAGAGTAACAAATAAAAGCTGTGTGCTATAATTTATATTTTGCATGCATGTGCTTATCTTTTTCAGTAACGTAAATAAATACTTGTGTTGAGCTTAAAACAATTGCTGAAAATGGTTCTCTTCAAAAAAAATTTATCATATTTTTAGCTGAAATCACTGTAACTTTTGTGTTTTCGTTGCTGCGTTCTCTTGTTTGATTTTCAAACACGTTTTTAAAACTTTAGTCTTTTACTTGTAGTAAACTATTTCTGCTGCTCAGCTGTTCGTGTTCATCGTAGTTGATGCAAAAATAGTTGGATGGAAAGCAGCAGTGTTTGAGAGGAGGATCTGTTTTTCCCTCCGTCTCTCTCTTTTCTTGGCACTGCTTCTCTATCTGTAAAAGGTGTGTGCGTGTTTGTGCGTGCGTGCACGTGTTGACAGACAGCTGTTTTCTGCCAGCCTCGTGACTGACTCGACTGACTCAGCCCCCTTCTTCAGACCTCTATTTTCTTCTCTGCCGTTCTATTTTAATGTGGCTGCTAAATCCTCACAGCCACCGTTGGGTTTTTTTCTGTTCCTGGGTGGAGCTGAATACACACGTGCACACACACACACACACACACACACACACACACACACACACACACAC